TGCTAATTATGTCACTAAATAACAAATCATTTTGATCTGTTCATTAATATTTTCGGCCATTTCTTCAATGCGATGCTAAACTGTTCTAGCTGATAATGGTATTTCTTTGATTCTCTGAGTGATTATTTTTATTATTTTCGAAGTCATTAAATAAGTGTTTAGAATATTATGAATGCGTTTTTCAAAAATTCGCTGTCTTTAAACAGGTTCCCATTGATATCAATGCTAAGAGCTGTAACAAAGCTGACAGATATAGCGTGATTGTGGCTGGTAACAAAGCACTTTGACAATTTATTTTGTTTCCCAAAATTTAATGCACGTCTAGCAATGTACAATTTTGATTTTTCTTCATTTGGCATTTCACTTATATTTTTATGTTTTGAAGGAAAGTGTCGCTCAATATTGTAAGTTTAGGCGATAATTACAACTGTGCAGTAAAATACATATCAATTTGTCACTATTTTCGATACATTAATACTTTTCTTTTCACACATTTCGAAATAATTTCTTCTTTGCTTTTTGTTTATCCAGGGTAATAACTTGTTTTAAATAATGATAATTATTTCAATGCGTGACTATAATTGCGTCACTATTTTTGCGCTACGGAACACGTGCTATAGCTGAGAGTGAACTGAGAGAATAACAGTGTAGCCAGTTGGTCTGTCAAGGAATTGCGGATCGGACTTGCCAAACTTATAGATTTCTCCTTGAAATTATGTTACAAAATAAAAATCCATGTTCGTTACTGCAACTCTGTAATCAAACAAAAATATTATTATTATTTATTTTCAGTTCATATTTTTATGTATTTTTAAAGTGTTCGTTTCATATTTAAGTTTCATAATTTATTTTTATATATTATACTTTATTTTCGGAATTCAAGTGGGTCACTTGAAATTATAAAATGGCTGTCTTCCTCAGCGTTCATCTCGTCATAGGTTGCCGAGGCCTGTTATACAGGAACACTTAATTTAATTTTTTCTCCTCACGGCATCGTAATATTGTGCATCTACTTTTTTAAGTTTACTATAAATTTCAAGATGTTCAGTTGGTTGGTTATTTGAATGTGACAAAGCTCACAAGGCCTGTCTGCCTAAGGAAAAGGATGCCTTCCTTGAGGAATTTCTAAGACTGGCTCCTATTTATGCTACACTTGGGGAAAACCAGATATGCAACCAGCCCGTTCGCCTGGGATCAAAACCCAAAATACCACTCGGTCATTGGTATTAAGATATTATACCCAAGATATTATTATTCCATTTCTTTATTTAATCCGTTAAGTCTATACTCCCCAGCATTTGTAGTTCTGTGCTTTTCATTACAACATTTCCAAGTATTTTACTATATCTTGTTCAAGACCTGATTTATGGCCTAATTTGATCCATTTGCTCGAATTAAGATAAGTTTCCCGTAATACTTATCTACGCTTTAAGATGATGTGAGGTAAAGCAGCACAGGTACAGGTATGCCTTTGTATTTCTTCTTCGCTCTGGCTGTAAGTTACGACCCAGTGTCTACAATTTGGAGGCGAAACGGTGATGAAAATTACTTCCTAGCTTTCACTTTGTGTGTGATGACATTCGTGACTGAAGTGATACTATGTATTTCTGCAATCTCTTGAAAAGGGAGCAACTTTTACGAGGGGTATGACCAGTGAAAACATGAAGACAGAATTGATGCACGCTCAATGATGTCCACTTTAAGAGGTGGACAAGACAGAAGTTACCTTTTGTAATATAAAAACACGTTTCAAAGTGGTTCGTTATTTCGTGCTTTATATATAAATAAAAAAAAAATCAGAAAACGACATTTTTAAGAAATATCTCCCAGCAGCAATGGTTAGCCTCAATATACATCAAGATACGTTTGCAATTATAAGTGGATTAGACAAATATTATGATGGTTGAATGTACGTCCGTCATCGGCTAGATTGCAGAATCAATAACCAGACACTAATTCTAGAAAAAGAAGGTTATGTGAGAAATGTTTACAAATACAATCGCTGGGTAACACAAGTATTTGCGATTAACTCTACGATATGATGAATAACTGCTTAGATGCGATTATGCTTGCATGAAACATCTTCATTCAGCCACCTTTTACTTGCAGATAGAACGCTAAATGAAGGAAAATTCATGCTATGCAGACTGTAATTTGATGCTCTTAGCGAAAGAAAACCGAGACTGCGGTGGAGAGTACCCTTTACGTGAATCTGGTATAACACTGACAGATTCCTGTTGCGACTGATGCGGAGAAAACAAACATATCCCTTCATTTCAGTACTATCTATCCGTCAAAGAAGCCATTGTGTGTAGAGTGCAAACTGTAGGTGCAAGATTTATGCATTCTAACAAATGGCTTTATTTTTAACTCTCTAATCTCTTTAGAGATGACATCCTGCGTTTACCTTTACGCGCATTCCTATAAATATGCATATTTACAATAATAAAAGTCTTCCCAACGATCTTCCCAACTTTCACGGGCGAAGGGATAATACGTAAGTACCTCAATTTTTTTTCAGCGAGGTTTATTTATTTGTTTATTCATTTGGCAGCAAGAATTCTTCTATTACGATTAATGTTTCATCAATTTTTAAACCAGCGATATCAGATGACAAATGACGGCTCTATGATCAACGACTCCTCTGGAAATCTTCCGAATTCCCCATAACGCCATCCACCCTTAAATATGGAGATACCAATTGAGGAGTCAACACAAATCTGATCTTTAGAAAAAAAAAAAAAAAAAAAAAAAAAAATGCAAATCAGGAACGGGCTTAAAACAACTTGTTTGCATCTAAGAGTTTCAATAATATAAGAAAATATTCGAAAAACGTTAATATCGATTTCGGTTTAGATTGATTTCTTTAGGATAAGAAGACTACGCATCGAAGACCTCAAAGGTGGCAGCTATTGGCGGACTTGAGACAAGACAGCCAATTAAGGAAGTCGTCAGTTTCTCTTCTGAGGATCAGTGTGTCATTTCTCGTTTATGGAAACAATTCTAAACAATAGGCTATAAGGAGGTCGGTTCCACGTCGTTCTAGGGATATAAATTCCTCAGATGACAAATACATTGAAGTACTGGACAAACGCAATCAGTAAACAACTTTCTAACTGTTAGGGTAATGGTTAAGACAACACTAGTAAGGTCGATATCAGCCAAGCTTTATTATTCTTAGGTATCATTACCAACTCACGATCTCACTAAACATTTCGGTTTTAATTTATCGCTCTTTTGCTATCGAAGGTTGTTTGCAGGACTTAAAACAAGGTTATTTACATTAAGGGTAAACATTAGCAAAATTAATTACATTGAAATGTAAATAATCTATGTGCATTAATCCGACATAAATTTATGATTTATACATATAAAAACGCATTATCCACCAGAAATAATCAGTTTTTAGCGTGCGATGTGTGCAGAAACATAACGTAAGGAAAGAATAATAACATTTCAAAGAAATGCCGGAACGTAATTTAAAATTCTGAGTAGTGACAACAGTAGAGGACAGATGCATAGCAGCAACACAAGTAGACAGTCTATAATCACTTGAACTTGTGAACGGGGAGGGACAGCAAAAAGTTAAATGTCAAAAGTTGTCCTGTTTTTCTACTTTTATTGAAGAACTTCAGTGCGTTTGTTACCTTGAGGGGATGGTACAACATTGCACACAAATATTTGGATTTTATGTTTTGTTAACATGAAAAATAATACTTTGATTATTCTTTCAAGATCAAATTAATAAATTTTCGAACGAAAGAAACGTAGTTTGTCTTTTAGTTTAATTTTACTTTCATTATTTTAAAAGCTAAAGTAAACTAAAATGTAAATTTATTTTGTACATAATTTTACAAATTTTGATTTTTGTATTTCTTTTTCCTAGTTACATTAAACATTTTTCATTTGGAAACTACTAATGACATATTATCTTCTTCAAAGGCGGAAAATAATGGCTTTAATTAAACATAGTACTCGCTTTTGAAGTTTTGGGAAAGTTTAACTTGCAGATCCCTTTTTAGACTATAGCCTAACAGCAACTAAACTGTTAAGATCGCTAACTAATGGAGTTTGATTCCGGTTCTAACTCGGCGATTGGGTTAGCTGGGGAATTTTTGTGGTTTTTCTCCATGTCCATCGTGATACTAGCCAGTTTCTTTCAAAAATTCCTCCATAAAGGTATTCCTTTCTTCAGGCAGGTACACTCTTATACACTTTGTTATATATATATATGTATATTTTCTTTTTAACAAAGTTTATATTCTTCGCAGTTATAGAGCTTTTCCTTAAAATTGTGTATTTTTTCGACTAAAAGCTTTTAAGCTATTTATTTTAAATGGTACATTTGTCACCAAGGCTACCTAGTATAGATTTTTCGTGCTACAGTTGCAAGTTTTAAGTAATTTTTTAACCAAAATTTCTTTTCTGTATTCTATTTTGTTCTTTATCTACAATTTTAATTTCAATTGCAGGCGTTTCGGGAAAAGAAACGAAGCCATTGAGACTTAACTTTATTAAGATAATTTAATTGGATAAATTTATTAATGAATTCCGCTTTCTGTCTCAATTACTTTCGTTTGACGAAACGCACCAAGAAAATTGGCTAAATTGGAGTTTTCTTGCACATTTCCTTGATAAGTCCGCAGGAAACCTCGAACTGGGCTAATTTACCATTTTTTGCAATTCTTTGTATACAATTTTTTTTTGGGGGGGGGGTTTAAAATGTTTTTGTTTGCGTGCATTATATAAATTTTTGATTGTAAAAAATTTTTTAGTCTTTACGTAATCCATTTTTGTTTTTGAAGTATATATTGTTGTAAATATTGCAGTAAGTTTCTTCGCGTTAACTTTTACTGCTTTAATATAGTATTCTTGTTTATACTTGGTATAACTTCTTTACTCTGGAACTGCAGTATCAAATGTGCTTTAAAGCTTTAGCTATTTTTTTACTTTCCTCTTCTGTGCAAGTATATATATAAAGTAATAGTAATTTTATGTAGATGACTTGAAGATTAGAAGATAGCTATTACCGGCGAGATGTTATCTGTAATTACTTGGAAAGACTTTAATGCGAAGATTCACATTATGACATAACGAAGACAGAATTGACTAAAACAGAAGAAAGGAAAAGTGAGTGCACATTTCAGCAAAGCCTATTTACAGAGTTAAATTCTTTGTTACAGAGTTTAATCCGGTGAGTGGACAAGAGCTCAATAGTGCCCTAAACGTTTGAAAGAGCAAAAAATAAAATGTGAAATAATTCGTGCAAACAAAAATGTAGAGCAAATAATAAAGGATTTACAAAGAATTTCCATCTTCCAACCCATCATCGTCAGGAGCACGCCGAAAAACTTGCCCCTCTATTAAAATGTTTTCCATATTTTCGATATATATATGTATACATATCTGTGTGTTGGCGTATGTGTTGTAGAGACATTAGATATTTTTGGATGCGGGAGATGCAAAAATTGAACAATGCTCTCGCCGGGAGTCAAACCACGAACCTTTCGAATACACGCCGAGCGTGCTGACCACTACACCACGAGGACATGTTAAGAAGGCGGGAGAAATACCTTATATACTCCCCCTCTTAAAGAGCGACTGGGGAACACAATCGCCAAATCCTGATGGTGGAGAATCATCATCCACCACCTTTTTTTTTAGTTCGGGCGCCACTGTAGAGACATTAGGTATTTTTGGATGCGGGAGATGTGAAAAATGAGCAATGCCCTCTCCGGAAGTCGAGCCACGGAGCTCTCTAATACGCGCCGAGCGTGCTGACCACTACACTACGAAGGCATTTTAAGAAGGCGGGATATATACTTTATAGTGTGTGTAATGATGTAGACATATATGCAATGACGTAGAAAAGTTGATTGCGTAGATGTTGATCCACAATAAACAACAAACTTGGAAGCTCATGCAGATTAAATATTCATTTTTATTTCAACTGACATTTTTCGGCCACAAATAGCTTGACAGTCTAAGCCTGCCCATTCCCAGAATATTTACATTTTTGATAGCTTTGCGGTTAGAAGAGAGCAGCGCGGCATAGTTATGCAATATGGCAGCTTATTAAAAGAAAGGTTTCGATTATGTAATTTTAAGTTTCGAATTAGCTACGTCATCGTCGTTATGTAAATGTCATATATATGTATATATACACATAAAAAATAAACTGTAGGCGTTACGGTGAGATTTGCTTACAGGTAGACCACAGCCTAACCTATAAATTTAAGAATAACGACTATTAATTAGTGCTAAACTCTCAGTCATTTAGCTAAGTCCTCCTAGCTGTGTAGCCTGCCAGCAGAAAATATGAGCAAAGGTTTTAGATGTATAATCATCTCCCGATTTACTAGGCTAATACAAGAGATGCGGTCCACGATTAACTCGTAATCATAGTCAACCCAAGGCCTGTAGGAAAATACAGTAAACAGAAATAACCATATTATAATTAACATTAGCACTCTATTAAAGAAAGAAAATCTGAAAGGATTCTGAATTTCAAGTCGCATCAGCGGGTTTGTTAAGGTTTTCTATGCTGTCGCTGAGCTTGCAGTTTGATAATCTGCTCTTTAACTCACTCCTGCTAATTATTTTATTATTATTATTATTATTATTATTTTTTGTCTTTTAAATTTTATTATTAAACATCGATGCAGTGCTAAGCTGTTAAGCGTCATCATTCATTATTTTCATTATTTTGTCAGTTCATTTTTCCAATTCCAGTTTTCTTAGAAAGATCACTTACACAGCTCCCTCGTCTTTTGTGTTTTTATTATTAACTTCTTGTCTTTTTAAGTTTATTTATCAAACATAAAATCATAAAATATTTAAAAAGAGCATATCTTTAGAATTCGCGAGAGAGGGTTAAGAATTTTATATTCGCCATATAATTTCTGTACAAACAATATATGACAATAACATTTGGTAGCAACATCCTTTTTTTTGAAAAGCGGGGCTTGAGACTAGTTGCACGTCTGTTGCTAACAAGTAAGAACATACGATTTTATAGTATTTTATATCCACAACTGACGGTAGCTTAAAAAACCCAAACGCAGTAAAATGGCTAGCTTCTCGCAGTTAGTTATTCTTCTGATCTCCCATTAAGATAACGATTTAAATACAAAATCTTCCAGCTTCAGTGTTACTGAAGAAGAAATAGAGAATACTGGACAACCTAATTAGAATTTAGAGGGCTGGTAAAGGAACTAGTTAAGGTGAAAAAAATTATGATATTTTTTAATGACACTAAATCCTGAATAAGCTGACAGACAAGAAATCCAGCATCCTACAAGAAAGAAAAATTCTTTCGACAAATATTTTCTTTAATGAGAAACTTCTTTTTATTCGTATTTCTAACATAAACAATTATTAACAATCAATTACAAACACATCAACTTCCTCTTGGTGCAATACTTAGGAAATTATCAGTCATGAAGAGGGAAGCGTGTGAGATTTAGCCTTCACTTTTATAGCTCAAAAACCTGATGACATTCGCTTTAAAAATATGTCTCGAAACAATAGAAATTGCAACTGGATGTTTTATTTGAAATTATATATGTGCCCTTGATGTCTGTTGACTTTTCTACATTTACATCAAAACCAACACTAGGACATAATCATTTTAACAGCTCACGTTTTTAGGTTCGTAAAGAAAATGCAGGACCTCAGAACGAGGTAAAATTCAAAATCGTGATAGCTGTAATTTATATTATGCACACGAAACAGAAGCAACAGTATTTTTAGAATGGGATTACTTTGAGGATATGAAAATAATAATATTTTCCCCACTTGAACAAAGGCACCTACAGATGCATTCTAACCATCCTGTACGTCAAAAGCAATTTTCTACGGTACCAACTGCAGCTCAGAAAGGATCGTACAACATTATTGACGAAGACGAAATATTAGAAGACACCTATTCAATGATGTGTAATTCTTCCTTCAGGCCAGATAGTGAGGCTTCACAGTGGGCTTAATTCACGGGAAGTTAGAACCATTTTGGATATATTGAGGCCCATATTTCATAAATCACAGCCAGTGCAGGTTTATCCTTTGGGCGCTTGGTGCGGGAGCAAAGGGGCCCGGATAAACTGGACCCAACCAGAATTTCTGGTTATAAATTTCGATAGTTGATGATAAAAATTCTTTAGAAAAATAGTAAACGATTTTGCTAAAATCGCCTCTCACCTACACGTCCATGTTTGTATTGTTCGTCGATATCTAAGGCCGGCGCGGCGCCGGGTGGTAACTTATAATGCGCCTTACAATCAAGAAGCAGGCAGATGAATTAGACTACAGACAGTACCTTACCAAATATGCAACGCGACGCAAACGTTATAAATAAATAATAAAGTGTGGACTGCCGGACAAATAAAACGATAGATTTATTATACTGGTTGTAGGATAGCGGATAGTAGGGAATAAAGTACTAGCAGAGCTACCCGTTCTGAGAACGGGATTTTATAGTATTCATCTTAAAAAGTATTTTCTAGCTTTTTTTTAACTATATACATTTAATAAAAGTATTTCTTCCTTTAATCTGATTACAATAACCAATAACTCCTTACAAACTACATTTGTAATACATACTTTTGAATCCACGTGCAATGCGATTTTTAAATTATCTCTACTCCTTACTCTACTACTTGTGAATTGGATTATTTAATTATGGGAAAGCACACGAGGGCTATCTGCCTAAAGGAAGGGGTGCCTTCGTGGAGGACTTTCTAAGGGAAACTGGCTCGTATACACGTTACACATGGGGAAAACTACGAAAACGCCCATGCAGCCAGCCCGTTCGCGGGATTCGAACCTCGGACCGAACTACCAGTGTTCAGCGTCTTTACCGCTCGGCCGCTGGTGGGCTCTACTACTCGTGTTTTATGTCATAGTGAATGCTGGTATAATTGGGAACTGTCTTCACTTAAAACGGAATGGTAATGTCGTTTCGCTTGGTGCAAGATCTATTCTAGGAATAGCAACTAAGTTTCATTTTTTATGTCCTGTTAGTATCTTACATATCAAGAAGTTTCTATGCATCTCACGTATTATGAGTCTTGAACCATTTATGAGTCCATTCCTCTGATCAAGATTCCTTATTAACATTACTATTGTACGAATCTTTAACATAAGTAAATGTGGAGGCATTCCAGATGGTTGTTGTTTGTTAATAAACTCCATTGAATAGTTGACAAAATCACTATTGTCTTAAGTTAGAATTATATCAACTCTCTTATAAACTTTCTCTTCTGAATTTATCAGTTTTATTACTTCATTGATTTTTGAGCATGTTCATTACAGCTTGTTAGTATAACCTTTTCATAGATATCTTCATCAACGGTACTTATGTTTGTATCAAATATGATATTGACTACGCTATCTTGTACTATAAATTCTCTTGGTATGTATATTGAATCATTATTATCATTAAGTGACCCATTACTAACTTGTAATAACCAATTAGTGAATTCATCTTGATCTTGACATCTCATATTTTAGAAATTTAATAGTGCTACTATCATAAGTCAGTTTGCCAATATTAAGTCACGAAAAAGAATGTTATAATTTGTGTTATATGTTATATCTTAGAATGTTATTTTTATTTCTACATTTTTTATGTTATATTTTAGAATGTTGCTTTTATTTTTTACAATTTTTATATTTTTACAATAAAAATTAAACATTAAAATTTTGTTTCATTTGTTAGCGGATCCAATAGCCTCTCCTTGGATCCACCAGTGCCTAGTGGGCCCGCAGATCTTCTGCGCCCAGGGTCAGAAATGAGCTTAAACCAGCACTGATCACAGTCCATAATTATGTTCTTTTTGCCGCTGCTACTGAGTCAGGAGTCAGAATGGATTGTTCACGATGTCTTACAGATGTTTCACGGAATTAAAATCTAGGGAAGGAAAAAAATAAAATTCTTTTAAAATTCAAAAAAATAAAATTTTAAAATCCTTTCTATATTGTCCCTGTAGTTATCGATATTTTGAAACAGGCCACTGCCTCTTGGATTAAAAGAGTAGACATGGAAACGAGGAAAACCTAGCACTTGGCTCTTCTAAACATATCTCCAGGCGTAATAACAATCCTAAACATTACATGTCAAAATTATCTCATAAAATACTTTAAGAAGCAGTGACATATTTTGTCAACGAGCTCTATTAGAATTTAAACTTGTCTCACTATGCTACTTGCTTCTAATCAGATCTTTCCTAATTTCAGTATTTATTCCGACGACCGAAGCTGTGACACATTCTTAGCAAGAGCTTTGGAAACGTAAATCAGTGTAACTATTCTTCCTTGATGTTGGATATTTCCAATATTATTTGGATATCTCTGTGACTGCTTTGGTTTGGGTGATATTCGTGAGACGGTATCTGTCACCGCTGCAGATCGAGATTAGACGTTCCGACAAATATTTTCGTATTCATCGCACATTCTCGGAAAGGGCGAGACAAAAATAGCAAAGTTTAAGACTCTTCGAAAATATAGTGACCCGTTTTGTCCTGCAATCACAGTTTCACACTCTTACTGTAAGCTCGATTATAAGCTGCAGTAGTAATATTGCATAGTAAACAGGAGTTACAAATATCTGCTCCTTTTAAAATTTATCCACAGAGATTAAACATATATTCTTTTTTATAACAGCGCGATACACCTCTATTCAGCTGAATTTCTGCGCATTCTAGAAAATTACTTCATGATTAATTTATGATGAAAAACGCAATTTTTAAACTTCCATTTACATCATACTAGATATGGGCAGCAGTTTTCGAGGGTTTTCAGTACAATGTTTGATTCGAAACTCGGATCTATTTAAAAACAAATGTTTTTGAAGCCGTTAAATCTGGCCGATACAACTATTTTTAAACATGTCATTTTTCATTCAAATGCATTTCTATGTATTATAAAAAATAATTGCACGCTAGGTTTCTAACCGGAAACGTAACTTTTATATTCGCCAGAAAATTATCAGCAATAGCTTTTTTCACTTACACACGCATATGCAGAAAGCAAAATATAACACACGAAAAGTTGAGTCGAAAAAAAGCTGAGGGTTGAAAAAGTTAACTATTTTCGAAAATGAGAATGAAAATTATGAAGTGTGTGTATTAGTGATAAAATCGTAGATGCTAAAAAAAAGCCCCGCACATATAGCTCTTTCTATTCTTAGGTAAATTAATTTATTTATTTTCAGTGTGATACAATGATATCGTTTGTATCTATGTAAAATGTTTCGTGCAATAAATCGTTAAAAAAATTACCTTTTGAAAAATTTTACAAATCGAAACAATGTTACATACGGAAATTTTTACATCGCTATTTCCTGCTGTTAGAACTTTTCATGGTATAGAGGGCGCTGTTGCGCCAAAAGAATTCTTCTGTGTTTACGTTATGTAACTGTTCGCCGTTGCGATGTTGTTTGTATTACAGTGATATTTTTTGGTGTTTTCACAAAATATAAATGAAAGATGTCGTCATGTAGTTTTGTATACCAAATCAAGATCAAAATTACCACTGATGCAAACTCGTCGAAACAAAAATAGCATTTGTACAAGAATCGTCAAGTGTTATACTCGCCTTTCGAACTTCGCATTCGTATCGTTAATAGCTTCGTAATACCTGCAAAGCTTGAAAACAATACAAAAATCTTGGCCTTTTTTTTTCTTTTAATCTTTCCGTTCGAACCAAAACTACTCGGTAAGTTTCTTATCATTTGTTTCAAAATTTCATCATAACACCTTGCGAACTCAAAGTTCTAAAACCAAAGATCAATAATCGCAATACCAGAATCAATGGCATGTTGAATGCGTATAACTGAACTTTTCACTTCATATTTTGAACAAAAGAAATATTTTACATCATTTTCATAGACTGATAACTTTATCGTTTTATTAGTCAAGCGAAATAGTCATCTTTGGGCAATATCATTACACGCAACAGACAATTTCAATATAAGATGTTAAGAAAACGCCGATTATAGCCATGATTTGATTTAATGCAAGTCCATAAATCGTTTTCAAAATGTCACTTAGTCAGTGTAGAATCTGTAAAACAACAGTGTGTAATATCTATATTCTTGTCCCCCCCCAGGGCAGGGGTAAGAAGTACTTGCGCAAGCGATGAAAATGTTTAATCTTAATCATTACCTATTATAACTTATGAGTTGTTGCCTTGTTATGGTTGTGTATGCATAGAATGGTACTTACGAATTAACGCAACCACCTTGACGCAATTTGGGGATTCTTCACAATTGAAAAGGTAAAAGCTATTTATCGGTACAAGTAAGGTGGTTTTCGCGCCTTTTTTTAAGAAAGATTCCCAAACGATCGCTATTCATCGTAAGTCGTATGAACGCATGAAAAGAAAACATACTTTAGCAATTTAAAATACAAATTTGAATTATTAAATAAGGATTACGTGAATTACTTATTTACCATTACATTAAAAAAAACACACATTCTTCCTCGAAACTTTCTGTAGTTTTTTTTTTTTTTTTTTTCCGTTATTCTTCTTTCGATGTACACAGTAATCTGTTTTCGATTAAAAAAAATCAGAGGATTGCGAAGACTCGGCTTTGTGCAATATTGCGACTATCTAGAAAATTCATTTTCCTCGTTGTTCCCATCGGCAATTTTTCAGCAAAATTTTGTACATTCTGTACTCCTGCAGAAATTTTATCACAATGTCTTCAATTGCTGGCAAAATCCAGAAGCTCATATTTTAAAAACTGAATTTAGGAAAAAAATATGAAGATTTGTTTAAACACCGTTTGAACTTGGAATACAACGAAAAAGACTGCATACGAAAGTGACGGCGTAGCTTGATTGAAACGATTGCTATAAGCATGGTTGCCGGAACAATGGTTATGCGCATGGCCGCCAGAGTTTGACAAAATTTGGCAACTTCTACTAAGGTGGTTGTGTTATTACGTAAGTATCCATTGAATTTCCGAAAAGAAGGTGTTTAAGGGATTTACTTCCATAAATACCGATTCCAGATTCTTAATTTCTTGAAATAAGTTACAAAATTCTATGACAGCAATTTCTACGGTTAAGACACACATAATTTTCTTTCAAATCCTCAATTATCATAACTTGATAGCAGTGCATTCACATTTCAATTTAGTAAAGATTTAATATTAAAGTTTGGTTTATTATTTTGTCGTTATATTTTGGGTATCTAGTCAATATTTCTACTGCTCGTTAGCCATCCTGCTGTCAAATAGTCACCATTACTAAAGATTTGCTGCTAAATAATTTACGGAAAATCGTTTGACAGCTTTTTAAAGGCAGGTATCTACTTTATACAAACAAAAGAGATGTAAAAAGACTCATGCAAGCAAACCAGCCTGACTCAAAAATAGGGACACAGGAAGAAATAAGTCTTTCGCAGCTTCAGCCACTCAGCTGTGGGTAGGCCTCAATTTGCAAAAAAACTGTAACATTCAACTTCCAAATATCATGTCTTACGAGCATTCAATGAATTTTAGCTACTTATTGGCAAATCAACTGCTTTTAATCGCTGACTGAAATGATAACGATACACAGTAATATCTATGGATAATATTAATGTAGTATCTTCACCAAGGAAAATAAGTGTTAATTCAAAACAGTTCTCTTTGATCAACAAGATATAAAAAATGTCCCCAAGGAAGCAAAAGCATCTCCTTAACATCGTAACCTAGAGAGAAAATTCCACTGACAATCTATAATGACAGTTGCAGACAATAGAAGCGATTATGGACCAGAAAACATTCGTATCAAATACTAACGCGGAAAAGACAAAACAAAACACTTACCACTAAGTTTAAGTGACCACACGTCCCGCTTTTTGGAGGACTTCTTATTTTAAATGTACTGTAAAAATACATTACCTATTATTTATTAATTATTATAGTGAATATAAAGAAAAAAAAATCGATCATTGTCGTTATGTCTCGTCAAGGAATATGTATTGTCAATGGAGGAACAGCTGAACAGCATTAGCTGAAGGACTATTTGCTTTCCACACCATAAACTTCAATCAAAGTTTCAGATTAACTAATTGTACGTCGCAAATGCTCAAAACATTGTACGACAAAAAATTTGCATTTGCAAGGACAAAAACAGAAGCAATTATTTGTAATGTTTTTTCACCATATTCGTTTTGACAATTGCAGAAAGAATTAGATTAAATGCACATTTATATCCATATATTATGATGCTTCCAAATCCACAAAGATTTAAAATTATTTCCCACAACTGTTAGACTTTTTCATTCAGAAACAGGAATTAAAATTAGAATATTAGATTTTGTTTCATTGCCAGGTGAAACTTCACAAATAATTTTTGATTCAATAAGTAGTTTTAAAAAAGAATAATTTGAACAATAAAATTATTGCCTATTGTGAGCATAACACTAATGCAAATTTTGGGGGAAAAGCTAGAAGAGGCATCAATAACGTTTTTACGAAACTTTACGAACATTTGAACCAAAATATTATTGGAGTAGATTGTGCAGCGCATATTCTACACAATACTATTCAAGCAGCATCTGACTTACTTCCAGTCGATGTTGAAAATATTATTGCAAAAATTTATTCGTATTTTTATATATATACTATGCGTGTTGAAAGTTTACGGGATTTTTGTCAAAGCGCAAATATCGAATATAAAAGAATTATTGGTTACAGCAAAACACGATGGCTAACTCTTTAACCAGCTGTAGAAAATATTTAAAAATATACGAACTATTAAAATCATATTTTTTACCACAAGGTAAATGTCCACGAATTTTGCAACTCTTTTTTTGAAAATGACACATCACAAATTTGGCTTCAGCTCACCCACAACCAAGCTACATTATTTCACAATGTTATGAAAATTATTGAAGGGGACAAAATTTCAATTAG